ACTTTCACACATACTACACACACACACACACACACACACACACACACACACACACACACTACACACACACACACTACAGTCTCTCTCACACACACTACAGTATCTCTCTCTCACACACACACACACACACACACACTACAGACACACGCACACACACAATCTGGGTCAGTCTGTCTGCTTCATAAGATCATTATAAAGTCAACTTTTGTTAGATATTACATGCTCTATCAGACAAATTATGTTTAAATGTTGGATTTTGAAGTTGATTTGCATCAATGAATTTATTATTTTATGTTCACAGCCTACAGTTATTCTCGATTGCTGACACACAATTCATGAAACAATTCACAACAACTTTCTCAGCTACAAACACGATCTCAAAACTACACACCAACTCGTGCAAAACTTCAGACTTCCAGGTCAAATGTCTGTTACAGTATACAGCATAAATAGAGCGGTGCAGATGCAGTAAAATTCTACACTACTGTAAAGTGATCTCACAGTAGATGAAAAGCACTAGAAGAGGAATGTTCAAAAACCAAACAACTGAATATACAGTAAACACACATTGGAATATACTATCAATAACTGTAAATAAATAAATAAATAAACAAATTCAGCATCCTCTGCTAAGTTGCATTACAGTATTGGTAATATCCTTATTTGTTATACCATAGCAGTTTCTTAGTCTTCTTAGAAAACACTTTCTCTGCAGTCGACTCTCAATGCAAGAAGTGCTTGGCTTCAAATCAATTCAACAGTAATGAGTTTGAGGCTGTGTGCATGCTACAGTATTTACAGTACAAAGAAAATGTGTGCTATTTGTGTTCATTCTGTGATTCTTGAGGTAGTTATATTGTGTGTTTGTGTTTTCTAAATGAGAACCTGGTCAAGCCTGTGCAAAATGATGCTGTTCTTGTGTAGAGTTCTGCAGAAAACAAATTGCAACGTGTGTGAAAGCAGGTGAAATGTGTCGGGGAAAGATGCATGTCTTTGTTTCGAGGACTGTGTGATTGTACCAAAATTAATGTGTTAGCAATCGAGAAAAACTGTTATAGGTGTCAAACCACACATGCTTTTCTCAGAAAGTGTTTTTATCAGAGAACACACAGCTGTTCATGAAGCTGAAGCCTGGGGAGAAAAGTGGGACAATTTGATATTAAATTCAGGAGAATCTTTCACATTTCAAGTAACATACTGTAGATGTTGTACAGTGTGCTCATGCTGACTGATATCTGCTGTTTGTCCAGGAATGGTGGTCCGCTCGTCCGTCTGGCTGGGTTTTCCGGATCTGATCAGCAGGATCTCCGCTGGGAACAGCACTGACGTCTGGCCGCAGGTGTTTTGTGTCGGCGGCGCGGTGAGAAAACCAGTCAAGAGCCTTAAAGCTGACAGTTACAACTGCATCAATCAAAGATTACAAGCAACCTTTCAACCTTTATTTAATTTTTTTCTTAGGCTATTTAACATCCAATACTGACAAAAATTAAAAGAATAATTCCTAAATATGTCTAAAGGTATAACATCATGCATTAAAAAAAACTCACTAACTTTGCCCATTTATTTAAATTATTTAAAAATAATATCTTCTCTACCCATCTAAATTATGGACTTTCTTTTCTCACAAAAATGTCTAGCAATATTTAAAATATGCTTTAAAATGAAAGATTATTCATACTATAAGGAACCTCTCATAAAACATCAACACAAAACAACTCCAAAATAACAGTAACTTACCTATGAACAGCAAAGCGAAATAAAATAATAGATTATTTACCATATGATATTCTATATATATTCATATATTTTCTTCCGAAATGAAAAATAAATAAATGCTAACAAAAATTAAAATAATAATATGTTAATAAAGTTAATTTTAGGTTCCATAAATAGAGGGACACATCAAACACCAAAACGTTTTGCATTTAGACAATTTTTTGCATTTTGTTTAAAAAAAAAAAGCATTTTCACAATTTTTAAAAATCAGAAAAATTATTTTGAATTTTTAAAACTAACACACTTTGCCCATTTACTTAAAACCATGCCTTCTCAATTAACCCATTTACATTCTTGACATTTTTCTACCAAATAGTAATATTTGGAATATGCAGGTAAGTTCAAATTTTTCCAAAATTAAATAATTTAACAAAATAGTATTTATTATAAGCTATATTAATTATATTAATGTCTGTTATTTATTTTATATGGAAATAAAAGGCAGTATGTTTTTAGTCTTCACTCTCTCTATATAAATATTATGTTTTAATCTAATATTTTATTGTTTTGTCAACTGTTAATATGAATTTACAATATAAATATAATAATTTAAAATTATAAATATATAAACATACAATTTTACACAAGTTATTACGCATTTAAGTTCACAAATAAAAGTTTTATAATTATCAAATCATTGTTTATTACAGTGGAATGAAAACCTTTAAAAAAAATCTTAATTTATTATTATTATTACAATTTTTCATAATTTTAAAAAATCCGAAAAATTTATTTTTTATTTTTAAAAATCACAATTTGCCCATTTAAATTCAAATCTTTAAGAATATGCATCTTTCCAGTTCAAATAATTGAATAAAACAGTATTTATTACAGGCTATAATTCTGTCAGAATAATGCATAGCCTATATGTGACCCTGGACCACAAAACCAGTCATAAGGGTCTATTTCTTTTTTAAAATTGAGATTTATACTTCACAGGATAGGACAATATTTGGTCGAGATGCAACTATTTGAAAATCTGGAATCTGAGGGTGCAAAAAAAAAAAATCAAAATATTGAGAAAATCATCTTTAAAGTTGTCCAAATGAAGTTCTTAGCAATGCATATTACTAATCAAAAATTAAGTTTTGATATATTTACCAGGGGTGTTGAAATTAATCATTGCATCGATGCAGTAATAATCCATAATCGATTATAGCCTACTGTCGTCATTCGCATACGTGCTTGTCACGCGAGCATTAAAAATGCACCCACTATTTTTAAATCTGAGATCTGGGCACATTTAGGGAAAAGCAAGCTTAGTGTGTGCGCTCGAGACAATCGCGGCGGCTTCACTGCACAGAATATGCGCTGAGAGACACGTGCGCAATGCTGTTATTTCAGTCTTTCACTTTAGATATGCTGCCACTGTCTATGATCTCATCAGTAATAATCAAACCGCAATAATGCTGAGGAAAAAAGAAAAACCCAGAACTATGATTATCTGTAAACTTTTTCGGAACTTTCGTTGCACCCGTTATTACGTTATATTTGCTTGTATGTTTTGAAGCTGTATTTATTTGGTTAAATTCTTAAGAATTGCTTTGATTTGTTATTAATTCGTAATTATTTTTAACTCTTTCCCCGCCAGCGTTTATGAAAAAAGTTGCCAGCCACCGCCAGCGTTTTTGCTGATTTTCACTAAAATCTCACGGCCCCCAGAATATTTTATTGTATGAATATCTGAACATGCATTACATCAAAATAAAGATCAGACCCTCTACTTTCAAACAAGAAAATCAGTTTTATTCTAGCATCAAGCATTGTTTTTTTTATCAACACTTGAATATAGGTAGGTTTCATAAAAAAAAGCTACATTTTGAGAAAATCGCATTTTTATCAAATACTACATCTGGATCATATTTAGCATTATTATAAAAGCAACGCTGCAGTAGATGGCGTACTCCCAAAGCTTGCACACTTTCTGGATCCACATTTCACTCGCTAACATTAGGCAGTTTTCATTTATATGCCGTTTATTGTTGATGATCGTATTATTTTTCATATGCTTACATATACGAGTTCGTTCGTTTCTGCGTCTTCCTCGTCTGTGTTTTTGATCGAGTGATTCTAGACTCATTCAGATGTGTAATAGCGCCCCCTAGCGTATAACAGCGAAAACACGGGAAATTCTGTGTTTGGCGGCGAAAGAGTTAAAAGTAGCCTGCTTATATAATTTCATAAAAATCGAATTGAATTGTAAAACCAGTGCCGATTCACAACCCTAATATTTACGGTAGGAAAATTACTTAATATTCTACAGATTTTTGGCATAAAAGAAAAATGTATAATTTTGACCCATACAATGTATTTTTGGCTATTGCTACAAATATACCCCAGCGACTTAACACTGCTTTTGTGCTCCAGGGTCACATTTGAGGTTTGCGGTCATGAATCTGGTTTTGTGTCTCTGTAGATGTGGATCCAGCTGTTCTTCAGCGCCTCCTTCTGGTGGACCTTCTGTTACGCGGTGGACGTCTTCCTGGTGGTGAAGCGCTCGGCGGGCATCAGGTGCGTCCCATCATGCACCTGTGTCTCCGAGCGCTGCAGCAGATGCTGATGTGTGTTGTGTGTTCCAGCACGATCGTCCTGTATCACATGATCACGTGGGGTCTGACGCTGCTGCTGTGTGTGGAGGGACTCGCCATGCTTTACTACCCCTCCATATCCAGGTAAACACTGATTCAACCACCGCAGGATGCAGTTTCATTCTTTTTCTGACATTCTTTAATTCCAAAAGTTCTTAACAGTGTGGTGAAAAATAATATGAAATATGGTTTTGATGCAAAAAACTATTGTGAAAAAAAATTATAATAATAAATTATGTGGACCTTGTTAATTCAATAATTAATTAAAAAACTTATGATATGACCCCTTTAGTACACTGTAAAAATAATTTGTAAATAAAAATGTATTAAAAAAAAATATTATTTAAAAATAATTGTAAATAAAATGACTGGATATAGGATTATTGGAGTAGATTTGACAAGAAAATACTATTTCAGCCTTTCTACTTCAAAATTAAATAATAAATAAATACTAACCAAAATGTAAAAAATAATGTCTAAATAGGTAAATAAAGTGTTAAAATTTCAAAATATAGGCACATCAATTACGTAAGCATGCATTTAAGCTCACAAATAAAAGTCTTCTAATTAGCAAATTTAATAAAAGTGCTGTGAAAAATATAAAATCTGGTTTTGATGCAAAAAAACTTTACTAAAATTATGTGGACCTCATTAATTCAATAATAAATTAATTTAAAAAAACTTATGATATGAGCCCTTTAGTACACTGTAAAAATAATTTGTAAATAAAAATTTATAAAAAATATTTAAAAATTATTGTAAATAAAATAAGGATTATTGGAGTAGATTTACAAAAAGATACTAGTTATGTCTTTCTACTTCAAAATTAAAAAAATAAATAAATACTAAGAAAAATTAAAAGAATAATATCTAAATAGGTAAATAAAATACTTTTTATTCCTCAGAAAACCGGCACATTAGGCTCACAAATAAAAGTCTTACAAATAATAAATTATTATTCATTACAGTGAAAAGAAAATATTAAAATGTTCTTAAAATCTAAAACCAAACATTTTTAAAAATCATTTTTTTGGTGCATAAAACATTTTTTTAAATTATTATAAATACAACAGATAATTGGAGTAGATTTGGCAAGAAAATACTATTTCAGCCTTTCTACCTCAAAATTTAAAATAAATAAAAATACTAACAAAAATTAAAAGAATAATGTCTAAATAAGTAAATAAACTTTAACTTTCAAAATAGAGGCACATCAGTTACGTAAGCATGCATTTAAGCTCACAAATAAAAGTCTTCTAATTAGCAAATTATTATTCATTACAGTGGAAAGAAACCCTTAAAATTTTATAAATATCTAAAAAATTCACAAAATTGTGTTTAATTCAACGTGTTACTATAAAAGTCTTCTAAATAACACATTATTATTCATTACAGCGAAAAGAACACCTTAACATTTTATAAATCTTTTTTTTTTTTTTTAAACCACAAATTCATGTGACTTTCTTTCTTTCTAATTATTTGTGAAATTTACTAGCAATTTCTGTGAAAACTGTTTCAAAGCAAATCCTGCACCAATTATTGCTAAAGATATATGTTGCACGTTTAATATGCAAATGAGCAACTCCAAGGTCACGGGTTTGATTCCCAGTAAATGCATGAACTAATAACATGCAAACCTTCAATGCAATGCAAGTCACTTTGGATAAAAGCAGCTGCCAAATGCATGAATGTGAATGTGATCTGACCTGAATGTGTTTGTCATGTGAGCTGTGAGAACGGCCTTCAGCACGCCATTCCTCACTACGTCACCACATACGCTCCCATGCTGCTGGTGCTCCTCGTCAATCCAGTGCTGTTCACACGGACCGTGTCCGCTGGTGAGTAGAAGATAAAAGATCAGTTTAACTTAAAGCAATAGTTCAGCCAGAAATGAACATTTGCTCACCCACAGATCATCCATATGAGTGTGTTTCTTCATCAGATTTGGAGAAATGTAGCATTGCATCAGTGTCTCAGCAATGGATGCTCTGCAGTGAATGGGTGCCGTCAGAATGAGAGTCCAAACAACTGATAAAAACATCACAATAATCCACACAAATCAAATCACATCATTAAGAAAAAACAAATCTATCACAGGGTTCTTACACCTTTTCCAAATTCAAATTCAAGCACTTTTCAAGGTGCATTTTCAAGTTTTTGCAGCACTTTAAACTGTGGTAAATTACATGTTTACACACACACACACACACACACACGCTTGAGTTTTTCACTTTAAACCAGATGTTATTGTGCTATTAAAAACCACAGGTTTGGATAGAATATAGCATTGCATAATATAAATAGCCAACATACAGTATATAAATTATAAAATAAAAAAGAAAGAAAGAATTTACAGGGTATCTGCAGAATTTTTAAAATAATATTTAAGGCTTTTCACCCTGCAAAAATAAAATAAATACTGTATGAGTGGGGTAGGACAATGTCTATTGTAACATATTAAGTCATAAAATGACTTCAAAAAACATGATTTGCAGCTCAAATACAGGTTTTCACAAACGGAAAGAGTTGTATAAAGTGACAAACCTCAAATTGAGAAACCTCAGCCTCAGAGAAACAAAGGAGGAACGAGTCAAAAGTATAAAGAGTTTTCAGAGGATGAATTTGCATTTTCAATAAGCCTGTCTGCTGTTTTTGTTCAGAACGAAAAGCTAATATGCCTTCAAAAATCAAAAAAATGTAGACGGTAAGATGTGTGTGCTTTAAATTAAAAATATTATTTACATTTTTGACTCATCCCTTTTCTTAAAAATAGTTTAAAGGCTAAAATGTGATGTTCTGTCTGCCACTAGGTGGCGCTTTTGGGACTGCAGAAATACAGCGGTTTAACGGCTGTAGCTACACAAAGCAGCGCTGGCTCACAAACGCTACTTTAGCAGACATTATACGTCGGTGAGATGAAACGATAATGCCTTTGAAACTTCTCTGAAGGCAGTCGGTTCACTTCAGAGATGCATTATTATAAAAACACCTGCGCTGCGTTTTGACTTTGAAATGTTTATTTTATTATTTCACTTTAATCTCGACAGTCTTTAACAGTTTAACTGAGCAGGGGCATTTTTGCTTACATTTTACACGGCTTGTAGCGCAGACTCTCCCATAAAAAAGCAACTTTACATTATTTTAACCATAATTTGTATTTGTCGTTTTCAAGCCAACGCTGACTGAAGCAGCAACCTCCCGACATGTTTCTCCCGCTCACACTAAAGCCACACGCGTTTTCATTTTATACAAAAAGCATTTCGTCTAGAAAGTGAACTAACGTTATTCAGAAATAAAGCACATTATTAATCAATGCAATTGCAATTTCAAGCAGTTTCAAACACTTTATCCAAAATGTAAGCACTTTTCAAACCTTGAAAACACTACGTTAAAATTCAAGCATTTTCAAGGATTTCAAGCACCCTGCTATCATTAAGACGTTTTTAACTCAAATACATAGAGTCTATAATCCATAATAACGCTTCCTCCAGTGAGTCAGTCTAATTTTACTGGCAATTTCTGAGTAAAAATTGTTTTAACGTAAATCCTACACTAATTGAGTTCATACATGACTCTGGATGTGATTCATCCCAGATAATCTCATGTCTGTCTGTGTTTTAATGCAGTGACGTCGCTGCTGAAGGGTCAACAGGGAATCTACACCGAGAACGAGAGACGACTCGGATCTGAGATCAAAATACGCTTCTTTAAGATCATGCTGGTCTTCGTCATTTGGTAAGAAACTCTTCACGAGAAGAGATTCATATCCTCCTCTTTAAACAGCCGTGACGGTTTTATAATCTGAAGGTTCCCTTAAACAAACAGTTCAATCAATAATGAACACATAATCAGTGAAAATCAGTTTTCTGTGCTCTTCATCACGTCAGCTGGCTGCCCAACATCATCAACGAGAGTCTGTTGTTTTATCTGGAGATGCAGGACGACGTTAAAGCCGGCGATCTGAAGAACGTCCGTAACGCCGCGCTCATCACGTGGTTCATAATGGTGAGTATTTCTGTTATGCACCAAATCGCATGACAGCGGGACCCGGGTTATATTTTTCAATCCCAATGCAACCCTCTAGTGCTCTAGCCTTAATGCACATCTATTTTCACTATTATTTTTGTCCCATCCATTGCTATGGTTGTCACTATTATTTATTATGCTATTTCGAGAGTGTATGTGTCCGAAAAACTAAAGTTTAATGCAAATTTTGAATGGATCAAGGGTGTACACTGCAAAAAAATTATTTTCTTACTCTCTGCCAATGGGGTAAGAAAAGTAATCTTAATTCAAAGGCTAAACAAGATTATTTTTCTTGCCCCATTGGCAGATATTTTTGCACGTTTTAAGCAAAAACTAACAAAATTTTGATAATTTTTTCAGAAAACAAGACGTAATATCTTAAGTCATTTTACTTGTAAAATAAATGCATCTTACATTTACATTTACATTTAGTAGACGCTTTTATCCAAAGCGACTTACAAATGAGGACAATAAAAGCAGTCAAAACTAACAAAATAGCAACAATATGTAAGTGCAAATGACAAGTCTCAGTTAGCTTAACGCAGTACACGTAGCAAGGTGTATATATATATATCTTGATTCAAGAATATTTAGATATTTATACTAGAAAACAAGATAAAAATACTAAGTAAGAAAATAATTTTTTGCAGTGTAGAATTTAGTAGAGAGGCTATGACATGTCCCTTTCAATATCCAATGACTACTAAATTGTCCCTAGCAATAATTTTGATCAAACAATGAAATATATGTGTATGTAACCACTGTTGTTGTAATTTTGGACGTAGTCAAGACGCTATGACATGATCCTACCAATATCAGACACTACTAAATTATCCCTAGCAATAATTTTGATCAAAATTGCCGTTATGTCCTCACCAATGCCAAAATCAAACCTACACCCATGGAATGGATTGTAAAGCCCCAAGAGCGCTCCCTTAATAATCACTAAAAAGCCATCACTCATCTTAGTTCATCGCGATCGATCTCACAAGAGTTCGCTATAGTCAGTGAATCTCTTATTTACATCGCATCTGCACTTAGTTGTGAGATGATTCACAGAACTGCACTGAGGAAAAAACAAACAAACTCAGTTTTTCAGCGGTGAGTGAATTCTGTCGAACTTAAACGCCTCTGATTGGCCATTGCGTTCAACTGATATGTCTGTGATTGGCCACATTGCTCAACGCTGCAAAATTACGTTGTAAATAGAAACTTTGGTGAAATGTGCGCATGTAATGATGTTGTGTTGGGAAGGTTACTTTGGAAATGTAATAGGTTACAGATTACATCTAAAATGTAATAAGTAGTGTAACTATTTCAATTACTTTATTAAAGTAATGTAACTGATTACGTTTGATTACTTTTCTAAATTTCTAATGTTAAACACAGTAGTATTTAACACTGATTACTGTCACTTTCGAAATCCTTCATCACTTGAATTAAGATTATAATAATTAAAGCACAGCCACCACAAAATTAGACTCACTTTGAGATCATTCTGAGGTTAAATACAGTTAAATCATGACAACTCTTGGAAGATTTTAGCATGGTGATGGATATGACAATGTTAATGTATTTGGTCTTGGTGGAATAGATCTGCTACGCTGCAGCTGCTGCTGAATTGCTGTAGTTGTAGATTATTGCTGCTGCTGCAAGCAAGTACGGGAGCTTGCTACTGCCAATGCATACAGCGATACGGTGCTGTGAGTATTTAAGACATGCTGCTGCTGCACAAATAGCAT